TTGTAATATTGATAACACAAATGCCTATCACCCAATGACCCGGGGCGCTTACTGGTCGCTTTATTAAACGCTATATATTATTAATTAATAGCTCAAGCGCCTATCACCCGATGACCCAGGGCGCTTACTTATCGCTTTATTGAACAATATATTATTAATTAATAGCACAAGCGCCTATGATCTTGATTACTCATCGCTTTATTAAACAATATATTATTTATTAATAGCACAAGCGTCTATGATCCGATGACCCGGGGCGCTTAGTGGCCGCTCTACAAAATAATAAAATGTTAATCAAACACAAGCAGCACCCTGGGTTATCAAAAAACATAATTAACATTTTTTAATAAAGATACAAGTAAGCGCCCCCAGGTTATTGGATGATAGGCGCTTATATTTTTGCTTAACATTTTATTATTTAATACAGAGGAAAGTTAGTGCCCCGGGTTATGAAGTGATAGGTGCTTGTGTTAATAATTAATATTGTATTATTCAATAGAGTAGCCAGTTAGCGCACCAGATCGTTGGGTGATAGGCACTTGTGTTATTATTATTACAATTTTTAATTTCCACGCGTTATGAGTACCATCTTTCGCAATGCTTCTTCACTGCTGTCTTCTCGGCGGAACATTCTCCCTAGATCGTATCGCTATATATACGATCTAGCTATATATACGATCTAGCTATACATACGATCTCGGGAAAAAGTTCTGATATTGAATCCACCTTACCTAACGCTGTCCGTGAGGGTTTAGGCACATGGAACCGCGTAAAGCGTAAAGCGTATCGCGTATTGCGTAAAATTATAGGATCAGGGAAAGTCAGGTGAGGTACGCTTTACACGAAAAAATTTGTGTTTTGGTAGTGGGTATAAATAAATGGTTACACAAGATTATTGTCAGGGTTAATCTCTCGGGTTAGCGTGTGCGTGTGCCATGAGTGGAAGCGTGCATCCACCTCCTGAGCTCAGCTTGTTCTGCCCTTCCGCCAGACGTGCTGCGGCTCTTACCCGTTGGTGGCGCTCAGGGCACATTCACACAACAATTTGTCATCGCGCACGTGGCAGTAAAAAATACGAGCGTAAGTGTTTTTACACCAGTTACAGCGAGTATTTCGTTGGCTTTGCACATGCCGTCTCGTTTGCATTCATAGCAAAAATAAAGTTACGCCCGTATTTTTGTACCCATGTGCGCGATGACAAATTTTTTCGCGTCAAGCGTAAATAAAGTATGCAACCTGTAAATACAGCAGCAGCTAATGTCAACAACAACAATTACAGTATTAATTGTATAATTTATCAAATTTCTGACATGGATGAAAAATAAATCGTAAGAACTTTAGGCAAATTTTCGAAAGTCCATACGACCTATGCAATGACCCAATATCGCAAAGAAAAAGTGAGAAGCGTAATGATTAAGCTGTATGAAATGTATTAACGGCTCTCAAATAAAAAGAAAAAAAGAAGTATATACTTAAAAACTTTTTTTTTTATATGTACGCAGGTTAGAATTCACTTGCGTTGAGAACTTTGAAAGCTTTTTTTGTTGACAAGACAGCAGATTGGTCAACTCCCCTCTACTTCACACTTACGCGATACGCGAGGCTTTGACGCCTTTTCTGTGTGACCACAAAGTAGCGTATACCTAACCTTCCTTACTTTTACGCGATACGCGATACGCGATACGCTATACGCTTTACGCGGTTCCATGTGTCCAAGCCCTTAGTTAGGCAGAGGTGAATCTGGTGAATAGAGCCCTAGTCCCTAGTCGGCCTACACCTCGTTTTTGATTCCGCCATCTGCTGGATCTTTGATGAAACAGTTCTAATGTTTTTTTTTAAATATTTACATGTGACTATAGCCAGTATAGCCACTATAGGTAATGGGTATAAGTTAAGTATAAGGGTATAAGGTTTAAGCAGAGATGAGTAGAGAGATTGCTAACGCCAATGCTACGGCGTGAGACAACTTTTTTCCACTGATCGGGGCGACCCGCCGCGGCCAGCCGTCGAACCAAGGCGCACATTTTTCGAGAGTGCGAGACTCGTATCGAAGAGCGTGCGCCTACAAGAAGAGAAGTGGATTCGCGTGGAAATAAGCATATAGGCGCACATTTTGGCGACACGTAGAAGGGGTATTGGGGTATACCGAATGTGTGCCTACGAGGAGAGGAGTGGAAATGTTGACTATAGCTATATATCTGAGCGCACAGCCAAAGCAAGCGACGACATGAGTTTTTCTCTTTTGACTGCAACCGAGTATATGCTATATATATTTAACTGACTCTTACTCTCTCGCTCTTGCTTGAATGATATCTATCAATCTTACATTCGATTAAATCGTGAAACTAAATGCTCATATAATTATATGCACAGAATTT